TTTTTTTGTAATATTCAAACTTTGTAATTGCAGAAATGTAGTGAGCAACTATAACCAAACTGGGTACTTATGGGAACAGTATGATCAAAGGAAAGGGAAGGGAAAAGGCGCACGACTATTTACCGGTTGGACGTCGCTTATAGTGCTGATCATGGCTGAAGCATATAATGATTGTTAGGACTACTGCTGCTATACGAGGTTCCCTAAGAACGGCTGGTTTTGTTTTTTTTTTTTTTTTATTTTAACATTATAGGCACATGGTTCATTAGGTGCTAACATTATAGACCACATTGGCCGAGTATTGGACATGCTAGAGAAAAGAACTTTGCGCCGCAAGGTAACGTCTTCATGTAACTCGATATTTTGGTGATTTTATATGAAGACTCGATATTTTGGTGATTTTATAGTTCGTCTAACTTCATTACGAGTTTAAGGCAGCAGTCTATGGATGATGTTATGAAAGGACATAAACAAAGTTATAGATGTTATTCCTACTATAGGAAAATAAAAGAGAGGTTGGATATAAGATTTTCGAAGTTGTTTCTGTCTTTAAAGTGAGATGAAAAAGTAGAAAACAAACTGTATTTACAAAAAGTAAAATAAATATGAAATTGTGAATGAGCATGAAATAAAAATACTAAAAATACGACGATTAAAGTTGATGTGATATAAAAATAATAAATCATTAACTGATAAGATTGGTAGTTGGAAATTTGTGACTAGATAAATAATATTTTTTTTATTAAAAATATATAATAATGATTTTTTGTGTTGGTGGAATGTGTAGATAAAAATTATATTGTTGTAGGTAAAAATAAAAGTTACTAAATACTTTATTTATTAACAATTTTTATATGTAATATTTCAAATTAATCATGTTTTGATAAATTTTGATTTGACATCTATGTTATATATATGTAATTTTATTTATTTTTATAACTAAAAGTAAATTACCTATTAATATTAATTCAAAAAATAAAGCTATTGAACTAACTTAGCTACAAAGTAGTTACCTTACATAAATTAAAAAAAAAAAAATATAAGATGGTAAATCGTGTAAGTGACAATATTATTTTATATATAAATAATATATATATATATTTTAAAAAAAGTACTTAAAAACTAAAACAATATTTGTTATTAGCTCAAAATTTACCAAACACTAATACGCATTTTCGAATTTACTTATCAAATTTAAAGAATTTGTCTCTGAGATTTTTTTTTTTTTTTTTTTCTTAGGTCAAAAAATTATTTTTTAAATATTTTATCTTATGTTCTCCAATGATGATCAAATTATTATTATTATTTTTTTTTTCAGATGTTGGCTGTTGTAGTTTCAGCGTTGGCTACTGTGTATTTGCACTTTTGTGTTTTTTATTTTATAATATTTATATAAAAAAAATCAAATGATTTAATTTTATTATAATTTAAGTTATCAATGAATAAAATAATGAAATAAACTAACAAAAAATCTAAGTGGGCCCCACTTGCCAATAGTTGTTACGTAACCCCACCACCAAACGGTCGGCACACAAATTTCAAAATATATATATAAGAATATATATATATATATATATTTAAATTAAAATAAATCATTTTTTTAAACCACACAAAAATGACCTTTTGTATAAAAAAATGGATTCACATTCACCAGTCACCTACCTTCGTCTCTCTCTCTCTCTCTCTCTCTCTCTCTCTCCACCGTCAGATCTGCAAAACCCCTTACATCTTCCCTTTCATTGAGGGATTTTTTTTTTCTCGTTAATTGAGTTTGGTGATTGAGCGGCGGTGGCGGAGAGGTTGGGGCGGAGTTTGGCGGTGGTCGGTGGGTGCAAGAAAGTGCAGCTTCGTTTAAAAGGATTGTCTGATCGATTTTGCTTCGTGGCTGTCGGACTGGATAACCCTTTTGTTTTTTCTCTTAGAGTGTGAAGAAAATAAGGATCTTTGATTTGATCTGATTGGATTGAGGAAGAGAAATCGAGTGCTCGTCGTTTAGAGATTGGAAGAGAGGATGCAGCAGCAAGATATGGAGAAGAAGGTTTAAGTTTGATCCGCTCATGTTAATTAGTTCACCCAATTATGTGTATCCTTGTTTAGCCCTTGAAAAAGCGAGTTTGTTTGTGCTGTGAATCATATATTTTATGTGTTTTCAACTGTTGGGTTGTCAATGTTAGTTATTCATGATATGCATGAGCTAGTGATTTTTGAATGTGACTTAGAATCATAAGGAGGGATCTGAAGGGAGAATGAAATGGAAATTGCAGTGTTTATCTTTATGGAGTTTGTACTGTTCATTGGTGTTGCCTATGTTGTGCAGGTTTTAGTTCTAATTTTTTTGCTAGTGTATTTACTTTTGAAGACTTGTGGAATTCTAAGTCCTATCATATTTGTAGATTATAATTTCGGTTGTTCGGTCGTATTTACTTGATCTTATGATTCTTACCTTTTCCTTAGCCTTTGGGATTTTAGTTTTGAATGCTGTTGCAAAAGAAAAAAAAAAAGGAGAAAAGAAAGAAGGAATAAGAAAAAAAGTTCTAATGAGTGGTGTAGTTACGAGCTTTCATCTATACTGTTTATTTACTTCTGTGTACACTTTCAACTTTCTCCATCTGAAGTCAGTGATATACTATTTTTTGCAGATCCCAAAAGAGACTGAGTTTTTCACCGAGTATGGAGAGGCCAACAGGTACAAAATCCTGGAAATTATTGGAAAGGGTAGCTATGGAGTTGTTTGTGCTGCCCTTGACACACAAACTGGGGAGAAAGTGGCAATAAAGAAAATAACTGATATTTTTGAGCATATCTCTGATGCTATTCGGATTTTGCGAGAGATTAAATTGCTTCGTCTTTTGAGGCATCCTGATATAGTTGAAATTAAGCGGATTATGATGCCACCCACTAGGCGTGACTTCAGAGACATCTATGTTGTTTTTGAGCTTATGGAATCAGACCTTCATCAAGTCATAAAAGCTAATGATGACTTGACACATGAGCATCACCGGTTTTTCCTTTATCAAATGCTACGGGCACTGAAATACATGCACACAGGTAACTAGAATAAATGGCAGTATCTATGGTTTGAAAGCAAATTAATTGATGAACTCCAGTACTTCAGAAAAATGTTTCTTTATGCTGTATGTATGATTTTTTCCCTCCTTTGCTATTGCCTGCAACAGACATACCTTACAGTACCTGGTCCGCTGTTTTTATTTGTTGTTGTTTGCTTTCAGCTAATGTCTATCATAGAGACCTTAAGCCTAAGAATATATTGGCTAATGCGAACTGCAAGCTTAAAATATGTGATTTTGGACTAGCAAGAGTGGCATTTAGTGACACCCCAACGACGATTTTTTGGACGGTACATTTTTCGCCTTGTAATTTCTTATATTGTTTGCGGTCGTCTCACCTATGGGTGTTGGATACTATGATGGTGTGTTTCAGTACCTAACTGTTTTGGGGTGATTTGTCTTGCCTGCAGGATTATGTTGCTACAAGATGGTATAGGGCTCCCGAGTTGTGTGGGTCCTTCTTTTCCAAGGTAGTTGAGTTGTGTCCAATTTCCCCTTGGATTCTTCTGTCAATTTCTTTGTAACTGCAATGCACCAGGGTTATGGTGTTTTCTACCTTATCAACCATACTCCATCATTTTACTCAGTTACGTGGATTGTGTAGATGTGTTGGTCTGTTGCTGGTGTTGATAAATTTTATCCATCTGCCTGTTGTACCTGAACATCTTATTGGTCCCAGAGGACCTAGTGGAACCGTTAGTAAATCAAAGCTCATGTTTGTCTGACATTGCTTGTTAATTTCTCACCTTCTCAGTTGGTAAATTAATAAGATGGATGGATAAGATGGTGTCTATATGCTGGTAAATAGTTGTTCTAATACATAATTCAGTGATTAGTCATCATACGGGTAGTAATTGTAGATTAAAATAATTCTTGTTCAGGGAGGACTATTGAACTCTCCTGCAAGTTGTTGATACTTTCTGTTCTACAGAGGTAATTTGTGTCTGGTTGCATATTTTCCTGGAGAGGGTCTATTATTACATTTTTTTTAATCTGTCTCATGTGTCTTGTGTGTTTCTTGCAGTATACGCCTGCAATTGACATTTGGAGCGTAGGATGTATCTTTGCGGAGCTCTTGGCAGGGAAGCCGTTATTTCCGGGTAAAAGTGTTGTGCATCAACTGGACTTAATTACTGATCTTCTCGGTTCACCACCGACAGATACAATATCAGGAGTAAGGAACTTGACCTTTGCTATAGAAGCATTTACCCTGCAATATTTTATCAAATGTGTCTTAACTTTTTTTTTTTCCCTGCATGCAGGTGAGGAATGAGAAGGCGAGGAAGTATTTAATGGACATGCGGAAAAAGCGTCCAGTGCCTTTTGCCGAGAAATTTCCAAATTCCGATCTTTCGGCTCTCAAACTATTGCAAAGGTTGTTGGCATTTGATCCAAAGGATCGTCCAAGTGCAGAAGAGGTGGGTTTGCTTTGTCTGCTTAACATTCGCAATCCTTAAATTCGACACGATTGTGCAATAATATCTCTGCTCATTGGTTGGATTCAGATGCTGGCCCGGTGGTTTTTTTTTTTTGACACCTTCAAGTGATTTTTATTTATATTTTGTGTTGTGTAGGCATTGGCCGATCCTTACTTCAAAGGTCTGTCTAAGATCGAACGAGAGCCTTCTTGTCAAGCAATCTCAAAGTTAGAATTTGAGTTTGAACGGCGTAGAGTGACAAAAGAAGATATCAGGGAATTGATATTCCGGGAAATTTTGGAGTACCATCCTCAGTTGTTGAAGGACTACATGGCAAGAAACGGTGGCACGAGTTTTCTGTACCCCAGGTAGTTACTTTTTAATTCAGACCAGTGACTTTGTTATATTAGTTCCATATTACTTTTGGTTGGTAACATTTTTTGTATTATCCAGTGCCATTGGACACTTTAAGACGCAATTTGCCTACCTGGAGGAAAATGCTGGGAAAAGTGGGCCTGTGATACCTCCTGAGAGAAAGCACGTTTCTCTTCCAAGGTCGGTTTGACACTTAAACTTTTTAAAAAAAAAAATTCTCAAGGAAAGAATAAACATGTTTGTCGCTCATTCATATGACTTTTATTGCACTCTTTCATTTACTCAACCTGATTGAAACTCTATACTTGCCTTATAACTTTCTAGCAAGACCTTGTCAAACAGTCTTGGAGTTATTCTCCCACTCATTTGAATATGTTAGTGTACTCTTTCCTTACAACTTAAAATTGGACTCTTTCTTCCTTTTGTACAGATCTACGGTAAATTCTAATACCATTCCACCCAAAGCACAACTGTATGCCTCTGCATTTGATAATAACCGTAAAGCTATAGCCGAAGCACCAAGCGTACTCGGAGCTCCAGACTCACTTTCCTGTAATATGCCAAATGTTTCACGCCCACCACTGCGCGCACCAAACGGTATGTTTCCATTAGATTTTAGCAGCCACCATGTGAAACGAAATGCGCAGAAGCCATTTAGACCTTTGAGCTTGACAAGCTGAGTGAAATAAATAGCATTTGGCCATAATTTTTTTCCTTTTTTTTCTTTTTCTTTTGATTGTATTTTTGTAAATCAAAAGTAATATCAAGTCAAATAACTTTCTTCTGGAAGACTTGAAAATGTCAGTTCTTGTTACTTTTTTACATTAACACTCACTATCTCTCCCGATTGCAGCCAAGCCAGGCAGGGTTGTGGGACCAATTTTACCGTATGAAAACGTCCGGAAAGTGAATGACTCATCGCCTTATGATGGAGGACTATACGTTCTCCCTTCTCAATCCATATCTCCTCAGTGTTACTTCCGAACAAGATCGGGAGTGAATCAAAATAATTCCCGGACGAGTACATCTCAAGCCCAACTGCCAGCCAACCAGCAGCAATACACGACCCAGCAAGCTAAATCAATAAGTGGCGGCAAGTTTATCGACCGTAACAGCAACCCTTATTGCCAACCGCATTCTAAAGCAGCTGTTGAGGGTATTATGAATTTGAATGGTCATATTGCAATCGATGCCAAATTGTTGCAGGCCCAGACTCAGTTTGTTGTGGCGGGCCATCGGGAAGTTGGGGCCGTGCAGATTGGGCTGACTTAAATCAGATACTGCAAGTGATTGACAGGCAAAGGTTTACGTGCAGGCCTTGTGAATATCAGTTCATGCAATGTGATCGTGAAGTTTTATGCTTGTGGTGCCTGAGAGTGATCTTGGCTATTTCCCCTTTGTGCCTTTGTTTATAGTTCTAGTGGTGTTGTGTACAGTGATCTAATTGTTTTCATCATTGAACTATGTATTATTGTTGTAACAAAAGTGAGGAAAAAATTGATTCACAAAATATGTTTCTCTCATTGTTTATGAATTTTTTCACTTTACTCTGAATTGATTCAAGTTTAGCAAGAGCCTTGTTGAGTTTGCTCAATCCTGATGAAAAACAGTGACCATGCTCAATCGGTTCCAGGTAGGGTTGTAAACGAATCGAATCAAAGCGAATACCCAGAGATTCGATTCGATTCGTTTAAAATATTCAAAGATTCGATTCGTGATTCGATTCGATAACGAATTCATTTTTTGATTCGTATTCGATTCGTTTAGAATATTCGAACATATTCGATTCGATTCGAAATTCGTTTTCAAAAAAATATTATAATTAAAAAATATTATAATTACAAAAATAAATTTTATTTTTCATATATTTTTAGAAAATTTTGTCAATTTATGATGTTTTTACTTTTTATGTCATAAAAATATTAGGAATATAACAATATATATATATACATATATTATAAACAAAATGTATATTATATATAATTTGTATAAAAATATTATAATTACAAAAATAAATTTTATTTTTCATATATTTTTAGAAAAATTTGTTAATTTATGATGTTTTTACTTTTTATGTCATAAAAATATTAGGAATATAACAATATATATACATATATTATAAACAAAATGTATATTATGTATAATTTGTAAAATTTATATAATTATTGTTAACGAATCGAATATTCGAATTTCGAATCGAATATCTACACATTCGATTCGAATTCGTTATAATTTCAAATCTAAAACATCATTCGAATTCGAATTCGAATTCGAATTTTCGAATTCGAATTCGAATCCGAATATTTCGAATTCGAATCACGAATATCGAATTCGAATCACGAATTGAATCAAAAATGTTTGATTTGTTTACAACCCTAGTTCCAGGTCCTTTTGTTTATTTTTTTTTATGGTCCCAGCAGTCCTGGATAGGGCCGGGACCAGGCCAAGCCGGTTTGACAGACCGGCCCTTGATTTTTAGCGGGCCGATTAAGGGTCATTCATGGGAGGCCTACCGGCCCGTTGACTGGCCATGTCTACAATTGACAGAAGAAACTCAGTAAATGAACATAAAGGGAAACATTAACTGCAACAACAACACAACATAGCTTTTTGTCCCAAGCAAGTTAGAGTAGTCTAAAGATGAAACCCGAGAGAAGTCTAAAGATGAAACCCAAGAGAACCAATGGTAAGAGAAACTACTGAAACAATAAATCACAATAAATATAATCCTAAAAACTACTGAAACAACCAAAATTCAACTCTTTTAGCCCTTTCACTGCAAATGCAAACAAACCACAATCACCTCCACTAAAGCAAAGCAAAAACAAAAACACTTAAAATCATGAACTTCAAATTCATAAAATCACTTCTCCTTGTCATCTCTAGCCACAATCTTGAACTTCCCTGTTTGCTCTTGCTGCATGAAACCAAAAAACCACAAACTCAAAATCAAAACCACCATCACAACCAAATACATAGAATGCACACAATCATCAAAATTACCTTCTTCCATAGGTCAGTGTGAGACCTGCAAAAAGCAGCAACAACAGCCCCTCTGCTCTTCCCTTGCCAATACTCAAACCACAGCTCCTCCTTCAAACCACAGCTCACATGAAAGGCAAACGGGCACTTAGGCTCCGAACAATCGACCACACACCCACTCGTTGATTTGCAGACATAACACTTCCCCTCCCATCTCTTCTTCAACACCTTGCTACAATCAATCCCCCGCCTGCCCACCGGGTCCTCAAAAAATACCTCTGGCACGTAAATAGCACAGACCAAGTGGGCCCACCTGCCATCAGTTGTCGGCTTCATGGCCCCACCATCTGCCGGACATAGGCAGCAAGAAAGCTCTGCCTTTGGACCTTTGGCCGATTTTTTCAGCTCCAAGCATTGGGCGCAAAACCAATCTCCATCTGGGATCCCGTTTGTGAAGGGGTCGCCGTAGCAAGTGGTGTGGGCCATGAGGTCACAGCCGTCACAGAGGACAATGGGGTCCACAGGGTCACCGTCCGTGCTCCCGCAAACGGAGCAAACGATTCCATCTTCCTCGCCGTCTTCCTTAGGGTCTTCCGGGTGGGGTTTCTCTGCTCCGTCTGGTTGGGTGTCGGTTTCCGGCGATTCTTTTATTTCCGGCAAAGGGGGCTCTTGTCTGTCGGCACCAGAGGGCTCGTAATCGAGGTTGAGGTCGAAGGGATGGACGGCTAATATCCTTTTCTTGGCCGGCAGGCATAAGGTGGTGCTGGGGGCGGACATTGGCGGCGGCGCCGGCAGGCCCTTGCGCTTCTTGGCCGGGAGGCATGTAGGGGCCGCGCTAATTTCTGTGGATTCTGGGTTTTTATTGGATTGTTCGGCTTGCTGCTGCATGAGCCTGAATCTTTTCAGAGGGGGCAAGCCGTCGAACATTTTGCTCTGCATTTACGCTGAAAAAAAAAGAAAGAAAGAAAAAGAAAATTGTTGCTATGGAGAAGAAGAATGAACGATGGAAACAATTCCGTTGCAGGACGATGGTGATGAAAATCAATAGAAATTAAACAGTATTAATGGCGCTTCGTACGAAAAAAATTGGAGGTGGCGGGAAGATGCAAAAATGGCGTTTGGAGGGAGGGAGGAAGAAGAAGGCTCGTTTCGTTTGTGATTTTGTGTAAAAAAATATGAAAATGTTTTAAATTTCAAAATATTTGAAATTTGGGGATTTTTTGTCCGAATTTTCACGCTCGCTCGAAAAGATTCCAATTTCCAAAGCGCGCTTTAATTTCCCATTTTTCGCTTAATTTGTTGCAATGCTAATTTTACCCGGTCAATATTGCTAATCTACTCAATAAATCTATGGATAAAGTTATTTATCACACTGTTTTAAATAGCTCGCTTTATTTAGTTTTTTTTTTCAAAAAACACGACGTAGCATTTAAATAATAAATTATTCAAAAACTTGTATTTTAACTATTTTGGGCTACTTTATGCAACGACATTTAAACAATAAAACATTCAAAAACTTGTACAACCTCCTATTTTTATTAGTTGTCACTTTGGTTTAATGGATCATTGATTAAATAAATGTCATTTTGGCTATTTTGTTCATATTTTTCTATTTTTAACCCTCCATGAATGCACAGTGTCTCTTCATATCTCATCTTCATAGTTTTCCATAACATCTATTAAATAGGGTTAATATTGACAAGAAAAAAATTCATAATTAGCGTGTTGCTTCTCAAAACGACAAATAATAAAAATAGGAGGGAATATTTTTTTAAGGATTAGAGTTATTTTTTTAAATGACAACTAAAAACTAAAAAATTTGATAATGATTTCAAATTAAGATTTTAAAAATGCAAAGTCCTAAGTTGAATAGTGTAATATATATTGGTTCAGGCTATTATATCATTATATTTTTTGGTTTTTTTACCTTTAAATTTAAAAATAAAAAAAGTTCAGATCTAGTTGTTAGAATTAAATTGAGAAAATCAATTACAATGTATATGGTTAGAATTAAATTATGACTTATCTTATTATATTTTTGTTATTTGTTTTTCTTTTTAGTATATTCTCTTTATTATATATATTTGTATTATAATATTTACATTAAACATTTACAAAAAATAATTTTTAGATGTTATTTTAAATTCATTCAAATATTATGATAATTTTTAGAATCAACTGTTTAATTTTATGCTATGCAAGTATCTATATAATATTTCTATAAAAATAAATATTTATACTCCAATAACTTATACAACACGCAACACTATTTACTCAGTCTATACGGTAAAATGACCAAACGTTATACTATACATCATTTTAAACCTAATGACAAAAAGTATATATGAAGTTTAGGAATGGTTGACTTCAAATTTATGTGGTGACTAGAAACCACATAATTTTAGCATTGTATTATGTTAAATTTTATGTTATTCATTATATTATTTAACCTTATCATAAGCCTAATAATAAACCATATGCAGTAACGTTATGACTGTTGTTAGGTCGGCCTAGTGATTAGATACTATCTTTGTGAATTTTGTATAAATATCATACTCTAAATTAAAGATAACATAACATCGCATAATATAATCCAAAAAAGAAACAACTCACAATAATTATCATCCTTACACTTTTATGTCATGGCTAACTATTTCCTTAAATCCAAAACTTTGTCATTAAACTTAGTCATTAGTCTCAAACAGCCTTTTGTGGGACAATATAAGCCAGGTGCACACTGAAAACAGCCTCTTGCAAAATCCTGAAAACGCCGTATAATGATGTAAACATCATGCGCAAGTCGAACAATGAGACACGATAAAACCGAACTAAAATAAGCACAATGGAGACTCGAGAGACATAAGAAACACACAACGAAATAAATGAAGGATTCTCATGTTGAAATAATGCGCAGAAAAAAAGTTCAATTAAAAAAGTGGCTGCATAAGAAGACAACACGTAGAAGAGCAAGAAAGCTTTCAAGGGTCAGTGACAGGTATCCTACAAGCCAACTAAAAAAACGAAACACAGAACGCCATTGCAATGTTGGGGAAGTCAATCATTAGTTCTAACATTACAACCCGAACGAAGTTATAATAAAATACCCGAGAGGTTTTAGAATCTATATATCCTATCACGAACCATTCTATCTGGGACCTTGAGCCCTCTGTGTATCATAAGGCCCCCAAGCAACGGGCGCAGATCCATACTGGGGATGATAACCTTCTACACCAGCAGGCGCCTGATATACATGACACATTATTCAGAGTTCAGTCGAAATGAAAAAGATTTAAGTTCAAAAAGTTCTTTCTTTCACCATTACACAAACACAAAACCAGAAACATAATTGAAAACTCACAGGGTGCATTGTGTTTGCAGGCGGCATGCCATAACCGGCAGGATAAGGATTTGCAGGATATCCCGGGTACGAGGATTCAGGTTTGCCATAGTTAGGATTATAACTCAGACCTGCAGAGACAGAGTACAAATCATCGGGCTACTTTTTACATCACATGTGAATGATAATCAAATGATTGAACAAGATGGATTCACAACAAAACATAAAAGAATATCCAGTAGAGACAATGAACTTGGTTCAAAGCTGGTATGCAATCTCGAAAGAATCACTATATTATAAGAATGTCTGGAGAAAGAATTGAACCCTCAGCAACAATGTGAGAGAACTATCAATGCCACAAAATCCATTTGAAACACCAAGGCAATGTTCAAAGGCCAATGAAAAACATTTAACCCATGTAAGGATGCCAAATAGATTGGTTCAACTTCATCAATCTTTTGTCACAAATTTAAGACTATATTAATCACTGTTTGCAAAGTGAACAACTTTTTGGAGACTGTTAAATTCTTTACATATTTGCTAACAAATAATGTGACATCATTGGGAACCACAGGTTCATTATCGAAAGAAAAGTATGGGTAAAAATCATGAGAATACAAATGAGTATAAACAACCAAGTCAGTAAGAGAAAACAAGAAATGACTTAGCCATAAGAATTTTGCTTGATCGTATACTTGTTTTCATCTATCTTAGTTGGCCAGAGCTAATATATTTCGACTAAAACCTCATTTTCCTCAAATTCGATATATTATCTGTACTGAAAGCTAATACCTGGATTCCCAGCAGCAGTAGCTGCAGCAGCAGCAGCAGCAGCAGCAGCTCTTTTTTCCACGCTAGCCAATTCAGCTCTAAGTTTCTCCATCTCTCGTGCCATCGTGACTAAGTTACTCTCCATCACCTTACCATGCTCAAAGCTCTCAGCGAAGCTCTTCTTCTCATGCTCAAGAGCAGACCTTAAAAAACAACAAGCAACTCATGCATACACACATAGTTAAGAGAAAAAAAAGCAACCAATAGCACTAAAACAAAAGAACAAACCCCATACCTAGCTCGCTCAAGCTCATTTTTCAAACCTTCGATTTCCGCCTTAACTGCCGGTACCTGTTTCAAATCCGAAGTAACTCTACCCAAATCTTGAGTCATCATTTGGACCTGTGCGGTAAGCTCCTGTCTAGCGCCAGTCAACTCCTTAATGTGCATGTGCACCTGCATAAGTTCCGACCTCATAGCATTTACGCCATGAAGCTCATTTTCCAATTTTATGGACTTCTCATAAATATCCCTCATTTCTAAGTCCTTCTCGGCATGCAGTGTGTGGGCATACTTGTCCGCTCGCTGAAGTTCATGCTGTGCCACCTCCAATTCCTGCCTGAGAGCCACATGAGTTGCTGCCAATCTCTGGTTATCAGCCAACAGAGTTTGGATATCATCATGTTGAGCTGCCAAACGCTCCTCGATGATTGCAGGGTGAGGAGGAAGAGGTTGTCTGGGCCCGGACAGATTATAATGAGCTTCCCTTATCTCGTCATGTAACTGCATATGAGAAACTCCTCGAAGGCCTCTGGGAAAGGGTGGTTCGTGGACCGGAGGCTGGGACATGCCGCCGTGTGGAACCCCTTTGGACGGGACTGGTGGCCCTCGATTTCTTGCCGACATATTTATTGAGCAATTGGTGTTCTTGAATCTTCGAATAAATTAAAGATCAGCTTCTACACATAAAATATGCTAAAGTAAACTGAAAACCCAAATGGACAACAAAAAAACAAACAAACAAAATAAAAAGAATACAAGGAACAGAGTATTCAGGACAAAAACAACGCGAATAAAATGTATCTCATAAAATATAACAATTCATATGTGATAAGAACAACTCAGGTCCAAAGGAATTGAAAAGGGTTATCTTAATTCGGTGAGGTGAAACCCTCCAACCCATATCATTATGCAAATCGTATCTCAATGACAGTAAAACCCTCCACTAGGATTAGCAATTCCAATAGCATCCCAGAAAAAGAAATTGAAAAATCGCTTATTTTGAGTTCAATTAACCGCAAAAAGAAGAAGAAAACCAGGCAAAATCATAGCTTCATCACTGAGACTACACGCACGAGGATGAATACGAGCTCTGCACAGATTTAAAGCTAATAATAGAATAGCGTTGTGACTTCGAACCACGTACCACTTACAAATTAGAGAAGGTCGAATAATTCAGCGATAACCCAGAATTTCCCTGTTTTTGCAGTGCAAATATTTTAAATCCGAACCCTAATTCCAAACATCAAGATTCTACTGCTACGAAATTAGCTCTGGGACGACGAACGTGTTTGTCGACGAACGTCTCTCTCTCTCTCTCTCTCTCTCTCTCTCTCTCTCTCTCTCTCTCTCTCAATCTCCTCGCTTAGTCTTAAAAAAGAGACTGGAAATTGGCAGCGGACAGCCTTTAGGCTGGGTTTGATTAAATTCGGAGCTCCAAGTTTGTGTTATTATGACGTTCTATACAGGGTTAATTGTATAAAAAACCACCACATTTTTGTTTAATTGTAAATAAAATTCAACATTTTTAATTTGGCAAAAAAATACCTAACTTTTATTAAGTGTTGTAATTTTGTCTCGTCCGCCGGACTGCCATCGCCAACTGCCACCCGCCGCCGCCAACTTTGCCGGATATTGAAAATTTTTATATGATCTTGTAGCTCTCCTCTGTGCCAACAACATATCCGAGTTTCACGAAAAAATTTCGACGACAATACGTCCAATTTTTCGGTCAAAGGTCGTAAAAAATTTAGATCTACGACCTTTGACCGGAAAATTGGACGTCTTATCGTCGAATTTTTTTCGTGAAACACGAATATGTTGTCGGCACAGAAGAGAGTTACAAGATTACATAAAAATTTTCAATATCCGGCCAAGTTGACGACGACGGATGGTGGTTGGCGGCGGCGGTCCGGCGGACGAGACAAAATTGCAACACTTAATAAAAGTTAGGTGTTTTTTTGCCAAATTGAAAAATGTTGAGTTTTATTTGCAATTAAACAAAAGGTGGTAGTTTTTTATGCAATTAACCCTTCTATATATAATAATTAAACAAATTTTTAGCCGTCAGATGCACATGGTAATTTACATGTGGCCATGTGGGTTAAATAAAAATCTCAATGATATAGTTTCATAACGAGACTATAGCATTTACCAATAATTATATTATGTTACTTAACTAAATAGGTTTGAAATAATATTTATTAATAAAACTATTATTTGATATTAACAATAGTGTTAATAGGGCTAAATAGCCATCATTTGTTACAATAAATGAAATATAGCCATAAAATTTGCAGAAATTCTATGGCACCACATGTGGCACCATATTATGGTGCCACAACATGATGTGGCATATTATGATTGGTTTTATTTTATCACACATCATGTTGTGGCACCAATCATAATGTGCCACATCATGTTGTGGCACCATAATATGGTGCCACATGAGATGCCATAGAATTTCTGTAAAATTTGAGTCATCTAAATGCACCTATTTTTTTGAAGGAATACCGAACAAGTATTTTCTAAAGGAATTAATTAAAATAACTTTTTTAAAAGCAATGAGTTGTACAACGTCAGAAGTTAAAAAGGATATGGAAATCCTTAAACAACAAATTACGATTATGTTAATATTGTTCACAAACAGTCAAAACTTTTGGAACAAAAGTTAGAGCCGATAGCAAATAAAATAATCAATGATATTACGCAAGAAATTGCTAAGTGCTTTTGTAAAAAATAAAAAGAAATTTTTGAAAAACGGGAGATAACTTCTAATCAAGAAACATATTTGTTTCTTCAATATTCATATCCTAATAACTTCGTAGGAAATGAAGAACTAGACAGTTCAAGAAATCCTAACGTATTTAAATGGCCAAAAGATGCCCTGAAAAAATATTTTTTAAAAAAAAATGAAAAAAATCTCTGAAATGATGAAGACCATGCTTAAAGGCTTGAATATACAATCCGATTCTAAGAAATGGATGAAGAAAAATGCAATTCAGATTTAGAATCAGATTATGAAATGAGAAAATTATTAAAACTTGATGAAAACGAACAATTTTATCAAATGGAAGAAATTGAAATAGACACGCAATCAAAATAAGAAATAAATGTCAATGATGAAGAAGAAGTTCTAAAGAAAACTTTTAGAATGGAAAAGACATAATCAGCTGGAACAAAAAAATGATCAGGAAATAGATACTGAATTTGAAAAAAAAAAAAAGCCTTCAGTAACTCATAAAGTGCCTAGATCATCTAACAACAATACGAGTATCCCTAGTATTGTTGGGAAAGTTCATACAACCTCATTCTTAGATATAGACTGTAAGAGTCCAGAAACAATTAAGAAGTTAATTGATAAATGAGGAATAGAAATGAGTATTGCGATTAATCTTAATCTCAATACTTTTTTTTTTTTTTTGGTACAGGGACATTCCGGTTTCCGGATCCACAGGGGAACCGACTAATCCGGAATCGAGCCGGGTAGGACCACAAGGGCGGCAAAGCTCTCCCTCAAGAGTTTTTAACACTGCCGGGTAGGAGCCGACTAATCTCAATACTTTTAACACAACATAATTTGTTTTAGCACTTGTTGAGCATAAGATGCTTGAAAATGCACAAAATTTTATAAAAAAAGAGGTCAATGATATTCAAAATATAAACCCTGCAACAATGCTTGAAAGCATTTTGAATAGTTTATACACTTTATTTTTAGGCAATGATAGGTTATCAAATGCATACAACGAAAAACCCATAGAACAATGGACAATCTAAAGCAAATATAAAATTGAACAGTCTGACCTAGGGGTGCACATTCGGTCGAAATCGAACCGAACTGACCGAATTTTTGGTTAACCGAAAATTCGGTTTGTCCAATATTAAAACCGAAAACCGAACCGAAAATTACGGTTCAGTTCGGTTTCAAACTGAAAATCTATCGGTTTTATCAGTTCAGTTATCGGTTATCCGAAAAAATAGAGAAATGACAAAAAATCTTAAAAATTCGTGATTTATGGCCATGTATGAAGGGATTTGGGTGGCGAACTCATTTGAAAAGACGAGCGTCACCGTCGAGTGTCTCCCGTCCCGGGTGGAGCGTGTGGTGTGATTATATATGCTCGTTTTCTACTTTTGTTTACTCGATTTTCCACTTTCTTTTAGGACTTAGGAATTTTTTTTAGGATTGGGTGGGTCTGCGTGAGGGAAACTGGAAGTATGTATGGGAGAATGATTGATGACAGATTACCCACCTGGAAGTATGTATGGGAGAATAGAGATGTATTGATGACAGATGTATGTATTGGGAGAAGAGTAGATGGCAGAGCATAGATGAGTTGGGATTGGATTTGGGCCTGTGGATATTTAATCGTATGTCATTGGACCTTTATAATTTAAATGTATATATATCGGTTTTCGGTTCGGTTCGGTTAACCGAGAGATTATATCCAAATCGAACCGAAAACCGAAATATTAAAAAAATGCAAACTGAAAACCGAACCAAATATTCGGTTTCAATTTCGGTCGAAACCGAATTTTCAGTTTTGGTCGGTTAACCATATTTTTTGCACCCCTAATATGACCCTTTGTGATATTTGCTATACTAATGGATTCAATTGCGATTTCGAAAACAACTTTTTAAATTAGACTTTAGATAACATTCTGAGTACTATAAAATGTATTTGGCAAAAAATTCCATCATAAGAAAAGATTCTTAAATAAATTCGAAACAACTGAAAATCTTATGAAATTTAGTTTTGGTTATGCCAAAATACTCGTAAGAGAAGAAATTGAAAAAAAAAAATAATGCTACTAAAAAGCAAAAACAAATAAAAAAGTTGAACAAAAAAACGTTGACCATGACAAGGGGCGAGATGCAAAGAATGATTGCAGAGGCCGTGGCGGCCCAAATCAAACAAGCGCAAGTCGAACAACCAAGGGTCGAGCGGCCCAGGATCGAACAAGCAAGGGTTGAGCAGCCTCAAAATGAACAACCACCCCCGGAGCGCGAACAACAAGCGCAGTCGCAGGAGAGGCAGAACAGAAGAGTCGATGAAGAGAAATCCTCTGTCAGGACTGTCAATCCACAGGCGAGGAACGACACCCTGGAGCAGTTATTAGCACAGGTGCGAGATTTGCAGGCTCGAGTCGAAGGGAGAAAAACAGGAAGCTCAAGGGGACACCCTTTATCACAACATATTCTAGACGCTGACTTGCCTCAGGGGTTTAGAGAACTTAACATCTGGTACGACGGGTCGACTGACCCTTCTCGACATCTGAGGAGTTTTGAAAACATGACGGTATTGCACCGCTACAATGATCCCGTTCAATGCCGAGCGTTCCTGACGAATCTGCGAGGACCTGCGCAGGATTGGTTTCATCAATTGCCCCCGGGAGCCGTCAGGGACTTTGACGGATTCAGTTCAAGTTTCTTGAATCAATTCGCAAGTGTGAAGGCCCAAGAAAAGTCTTACCTTACCCTAATAGGC